GTTTATTCAGATGTGCAGGTTAAATGGCTCTAATCTAATTTTTGACGAGACAAAAAGAACCATCCTTGTGTGCTCGTTGTCTGTCCTTGTTCTTTCTGATTATTGTGAGAGGTTTTTCTAAAATAATATCACTCTCTCTACACCTACTCCATCAGTGTAACCTTTTCCAGCAGACATGCGTTGTTATTACTAAATGAAAGTACAATTGAATCAAGGAGAAGTTCAGAAATCTTAACTCCTTCCTTAGCTCCTTTCTCCCCTGAAAGCCATTCTTGTTTGTTCATTTACCAGTTGTCAGGATTGGTGAGTCAGTGTTTACAATTGCTTCACACTAATAGACAGTACTGTACAGTAATGAAATCGTCACTCCGCTGTCTTCTCTGGGAGAGATTTTGCTTTGTGCAAACCCTTTTGCCTCATATGTCCTTTTTAAAATGTCAACTGAAGACGTATCCCCATCTTGACATTTTCAACAAATGCTTCTCATAATGATGTAGTGTACGGGGTCAGACAGAGGAAACTGTAACTCCCAATCTACTTCTTCCCTGGGTACCATTACTGTGACTCACTGATCTTTCATGTGGTGTAGAACGATTACACAATCAATTACCATGGCTAATTCAGTGTAAACTCTATAGTCTACAGTGTGAGGCAGAGCCACACTAACGTTTCAGATGAAGGAGTTCAAGAAGCCGAGCTGTGAGCTGCGTCTACAGTTGAGCGATTTCCTTTGCAGAAACATGACCTAGCAGAGCATGGGGTTACAGTGATAGGGTCATGAATATAAATGAGCCAAGATAACATGCCCTACTGTGGGCTAAGTGAAGTGGTGGCCCAGTATTCTCACACCCACTGACTTATGGGACATAGAGGTTGGATGGCGCAGTGGAAATGACATAATACCAGCTTTAATGTTTTATTTAGCTCATCTCCTGTTGACTACAGTGGGCCATTAAGAGCCCTCAGCATCTTCCTTTCGCACTGATTTTCTTTCCCTCCTGTCGCTTTCTGTTCTCTCTCTCTTTCACTTGTTTTTTCATGAACTGCACTGTTCTAATTAGTTTGGTTTCCATTCAAGGAAATTAGAAGAATGATGATAAACATTTAGCTCCTTTTGTGGAGATATCTTGCAGCCCAGTCTCACTGCACTCATGTTGAATGTCGGTGGGTTATTATTTCTAATTTATTTTAACAAGGTTTTAAGGAAAGCATGTGTGTGGTTTTGTCTTAGCATACCCCAAACTTTCCGCCTCTCTCTTTCCTCATCTAGCAGGAACAGCAATGTTACTATGGAAACTTTGTTGAGAGAACTAAGCTTTGAAGCTAATTACTTGATCAGAACAAATAGTCTGTGTTCTTTTTTTTATCTCCCACTATTTTCATCTGCTTTTATGCTTTTTTTTTCACTGAACAAAACGCACAGTTCAGATCATACCTCTGTGCTTTTCACATTTCATGTGACTCCTACTTTTCTGTATGAATTAATGATGAGTTGTCACCATGGTGAAAGTCTATATTACGTGTGTGTGTGTATAGGACACTCGAGTGCTCCGACAGGAACAAGAACATCTGCTAAGTCCTTATGAGATGAGAATCTGTGCTTCGGGTTTATGAAGGTGACTGGGAGTGCCCACAGCAGTGGACATAAATAAAAATCTGTGCTGTACATTGGAGCATGAATGATCCACCAGCATAGTATATATTACAAATTTTAGCTTGTTACAGATATATCAGTACTGCCATGTAAGAAATTGTCACTTAATTCCCATAGGTCATTTTGAAACTGAGTCATCATTACATCATTTGTCCACCAGAAAGCACTGAGAGTAATGTCCTGCTCAGAAGGCTCCTATCTTTAATACATGTAATTAAGGATTTCCCACAGGAAATGTGTTGTTTCTATTTCCTCCAAGCTGCAAGAATTTAGAAGATTTTCTTTTTCCCTAAGATCGCGTTGTGCTGCTCTGATAAATTACTGCAAATGTATGATGTAATCGATCAATCATTGTCACCTTTGGAGCTCATTCAGACAAATCCTGCTGCATCTTGTCTTGTTATCAATTTAGCTACAAGATGATGGTTTAAACAGTCTCCTCAGTCACTGAATACTTGTACATGTCATTTGTCAAGTATTGCCTCAGCTTGTTTTTCTTCAAACCTCGAATTAAATTTCATAAAACTGTAATCATTTCTTCCTCTATTTGCATATGCTGTGGGAAACCCTGTATTCCTAAATAAATAACCATGTTCATGTTCGGTATAAAACTAAACCTTTGGCTGAGGTGCTGCATGAAAATTTGTGTAAGAAAGCATACTGTTGGAGAAAGGAAATGAGAATGTGACAGAGAAAGTAAAAGTAAAAAGAGATTAATTAGTAAGTAGTAACTTAAATATTATTGTGTGGGTGAAACTGCAAACTCAAGGTTGTGCATGTGTGGTAACAGATAGTCGCTGCCAGTAAAAGCAAATTTCACACATCAACATGGTGCAAACAAACAGAAAAAGAAAAACACAGGTCTGGCTTTTGCAAGAGAAAATAGATATAGTTGTCGTCTTCATTGTATTCATCATCAGGTGTTTTACAAATGTGCTCACAGTACACAGCTCACAGCGAGTCTCCCACTGCCAGCGCAGTTGACAGCTTCACATACACAGACACCCACCTGTAAGCATCATATCACAGAATTCCTACCCATAGATACATCTCTGTCATATATTATGTAACATCTGCTAAAATATGTGACTCACGGCACAGTCATCATCTGCACGGACTGTGATGTCTGCACACACAGACACCGCCCATATTGTGAATACACCAGTGCTGGAGAGAAAGGAGTCAGTGTAAATGGCATCAAAACAGTCATGATGCACATCAAAAATTCCAAATGACTTCTTGTTTTTGTGTTTTTCTTATGGCGTTGCCGACAACAGGTCATTTCAGACGTCATGTTAAAATCCAACAGTTTGTAGTCCTGCGTCGTCATTTTGGCTGTTTTATGAATCCACTTGCAAAACAGTCACATATCAGATGTTTATCTGAGGGGGACGGTCTTTGTGGTGATTGTGGTTATTTTTATGAAAACCGCTGTTTTCAAAATCCCTCTTTGGGTACGATCACTCACTGTCTTCCATACGCTGGATTTTGGTCCATCATCACTGACTCCCTCAGCTCAGGATGACTTTATTTTCACTGATTGTTATCCATTCAAAAATATTACCCACCAAAATATAGTTTGTTCTCATTTCAGTGCCAGCATGTTTGTATTTTTCAATAATATCCTGAAGAAACACATTTCACGTATCACCCTGTAGCTCAGTGCAGATAAACACTATGAATACAAAACTCTTGTACTTATTAAAACACAAACTTCACTTATTTACACAAACCATTTTTTTTTTTGCTTCGTTAAACTATTTCACTTCAAACCCACATTGTATGGTTGTTAATATTACAGTGTGATTGCATAAAACCATTACTCATCCATATGTCTGCAGAAGAAAAACAATTTTTAATCAGGTCATTCTTAGTTCACTCTCTTTACCATGAAATCAACAAAGCACAAAATAAAAACATTTTTTTATGTGTTTACACAGAAACAAAAACAGAGCTCCAACCAACAAGAACTAACAGAGGACAGCTTAGCATTGAGTGCTGTTGTTTTCGGTCTTTTCTCCAGCTCGCAGAGAAATGCTGCCCAGGGCCAATCTCAGTGCCAGCACAGGAAAGTGGAGCGTGTCTTCTCTTAACTCAATCTTATGATGCTACAAACCATTGTTGAAACTCACTTCACAGACACTCAGAAGACACTACAGATGAGGGGTGTTCTACAGCGGTGACTGGTCTAATTTCTAGGTATCAAAAGGCATAAATTTTTTTTTGATGAATAAATTAGATCTTGAAATGAAGCCAGTTCAGTACTAAAAGGTGACCTTTTTGTTCAGGTACAAGCATGTGCAGTAATGCATTACGAAGCTATCACTAGAAAGCAGCGCTATTGCCAAAACGCGCAAGCAATAGGTTTCAAAAAGGCAAGTGAATGCAACGTTTTACATTTTGCATGCATTGAATTACATCCCAGTTGTATTGTACATTGGCTGCTACATGGACTGGGAAGTTTTTTTTTCTCTGGTCATAGCAACAGAAAAATAAAAAACTATTATCTACATGTCACACATCTCAACAGAGAAGAGAATTTTGTCGCCTCCGGACTGCATCTGACATCAGTATTCAGTGCTGTGGGAATGTTTTCAACAGTAGATGATTCACAAACTTGCACGGACCCTCACTTCAGAGCAGGAGTTAAAAAGTCTTTGTGCTGCTTTTCTCCACTGCCTTCTCTACTGTAATCATGCCACATCTCTACATTTTTGATTATATGGAATATATGGAAAGATGGGTTCCAAAATGACACATCATCCACCATTTGAAAAAAACTGACACCAATCCACTACATTTATAGACAACACAAGATTCAAACTAAAATACCTTTTTTTAAATTTATGGAAATTCATGCAATCTTTAATGACTGAGGTTGTTGGGAGTTTTCTTATCCTTGGATTTGAAAGTCTGGGCCTGAGTAGGTCTCAAGTGGTCTGAAAGTGAGCCATGCATGTTCCACCATCAGCGTCACTATATGAAATGCATGTAGAAACAGACTATTTAGACTTGAATCAATGTCAGAGCACTTGGGGGACGGCTAGTTATTATTATTACTGCTGCTCTATGACGATCATTGTATTGTTGTTGTTATTACCACTCTGGGCAACGCACTGACATCAGTTCATTTTTAGGATTGTGGTTCACACAGGAGTTATATGGCAATACACAGCCGCGAGTCTTCTGACGGCTGTTGGTGTCAAGAACTCATATCAAACACTTAGGTGCTGAATAAATCTCAGATATATTTTTAGATCAAAGATAGAAATAAACACACTCGCAATGACCCACACATACATACTGCAGATGCATGCGTGGGTGCCCATGACACCTATACACACGCACACATAACCACACACACACAGACACAAACATGCACTCTTAAGTTACTCCGCACTACTTTCTCATTCTCTGTAGTTTCAAGTCCTCTTTTCTGAAGTTGTTTATTCCAGTAATCTTCTTCTTCTTTCCAGAGTGACCTGTCTCTGTCGTGGCTTACTGCTGGTGTTGCTTCAGGCTGGAAAAACCAAAAACACAGGAAAGGATTTGTTAGTCTTGTTTTGTCTTTGACACAGGCAGATCCGACAAGACAGGCCTCTTTAACCACGGGGAACATCAAGCCCACTGGAGGAAAGATATTCTGTTTCTGCCATGCTCGGCCCCCAGGAGGTAATCTCATTTACCTGTAAATCTATGTCTCATGCCATTCTTAATACAGCGTAGAGAGCTAAATAAACAAAGTTCTCATTTGTAATGTATCAAGACAAATGTTCGGAGATGTAACATTGTACGATGCATTGCTTTTATTCCTCTGCTGCACTGAAAAAAAATTCCTTTTACCAGGAATGACAGCTCTACTTTATGTGAAGCATTAACCAATAATCCTGTTTCACAATCTTCTCATAATTACAGCCGTCTATAATGCTCTCTATCTGGCTGTTCCCCAAATTAAAACAAAGGAGAAAGATAGGAGCATAAACCCTCATGTTTAAAGTGCAATAATTACTGTGGATTTGGTCTTTATCTTGAGCTGCTGATTGTTTTTCATGATGACAGGCGCTGCGGCTGCATTCTGTAGCTTTATCGCCATGAAACAAGGCAAACTCCAGAGGCAAACACGCCACATTTAATTAAAAGAAAGAGATACGTTGGTTTGAAGCTAATGCAAAGCAACACCCACCTTATCGAGTAAGCATTTTTTAGTTAAATTTATTTGCCCCCCACCACCCCTCATAGGAAGGTGGAGTTAAAGGCAGTGAAGTCTTCAGTAATCCCGTGGCTGATATTTGCAAAGTATAACTGTAATGACAATACCAAATTAACATTCAGAGCTGGTCTCAGTTATTCAATTGTCTGAGTGTCACAACAGAAAGTAATACAATATCTCTTTCATCTCTGCAGCTTTTTGTATAATTGTTCCTCTTGTTTAGCTTTTTAACTTAGTTTCATGGTGCAGGTTTCAAACGTTTTCGCCTCAGTCTGGCTTTAGCCCCGTCTGCATTTGTTAAGAGAAATAAAAACAATCAGACACGCGTAAGGTAAGAATAAGATGTTTGTCTCAATACACCGCCATTGCTCTGAGCCTGAAATGACAACATGTCCCTCACAAACAGCACAACAAATTCCACCATTTTCATCAAAGTCCTTGTTAAAATGCCACTCCTCCACCGTGTCCTAATTGGAGCGTTGCCACACACACACACACACACACACACACACACACACACACTTTGAACGCTGAGATGGAGAGAGAAAGAGGGAGGGAGGCATAGGCACCCTAGCTGTCAGCACCTATCCCGGTAATGGCTGTTAAAACAGTGGCCTCTACACCCTGTCTGCTCTGTCGGGACTCATCTAGCACTTTGGACTCTCTGAGCAGTGGGAGGGCACGACTGTGGTTGCCTGTATTGTTGTTTGGGAGGGGACAAGTAGCAGGGAGGAGGAATAAAGGGGAAGTACAACAAGAGCAGAGGAGCAGTGTGAAAATGGTGTGGGGCAGAAAGAGGGTTCCAGGCAACCAGGAGGAGCTGCAAGAATGATAGAAATAAAGCAAGAAGTCTGTCCACCAGTTGTATCCGAATTATTAGTACATCCTTCATACTTCAATGTAGTTAGTGTATGAATACATACTATTGGTGCACAATCCAGAATGTGGATTTGTGGAATGTGTTTCCCATGCAAGGCTGCAATTATAAGTAATAAGTCATTTATTTAGTTTTGTCTAGAGGTTCCTACTGTTTTGTGGCCTTTTAAAATGAAGCTCTTTTTACTTGCAACCCTTCATGAGAGGTGATGACTTCAGCATGAATTATGAGTGCTAGGGCTGCAACTGACGATTACTTTCATTATCAGTCTGTTACTTTCACGAATAATTGTTGAATCT